CGTTGTCTACCTTATTATTTAATATGGTTCTACAAAAAATTGTAAGGGTTAGTGGGATAAATAGGTCTGGCAGTGTTTTATACAAAGAGCACCAATGCTTAGCATACGCTAATGATGTGGTTCTCACTGCAAGAAATGGAAAATAACTGACAAGTATAGCAAAAAAACTGATTAGGGAAAGCTCTAAAATGGGACTGAAAGTTAATATTAAGAAATCCTAGTACATGGAAATTTCAAGTAAAGAAGAAATAAATACCAGGGGCTCGTTTAAAGTGGAGCTGGAGGATGGATCAGTTGTAGAATTCCAGAAGGTGGATGAATATATGAAGATATGTGAAAAGTCAAAGACTGTCATGGCTGGGACATGTGCAGAGACAAAACGATGCAAAAACAACAAAGAAAATGTTAGAATGGAAGCCCATAGGAAGGCGAAAAAAAGGAAGGCCCAAAACGAGATGGTTGGATGACGTGGAAGACGACCTTAAAACAATGAACATAAGACAATGGAGAAGAAGGGCACAAGAGAGATCTGAATGGAAGGACATAGCCAGACAGGCAAAGACCCATCCAGGGTTATAATGCCAAAAAAAGAAGAAAGAAGGATGAATATATGTACTTAGGTACTCTTATTGATCATACATGTAAGTAAAATCTAAAATCAACCTGAGACTGACCAAGAGCAACAAATGTGCTGGAACCATAAGCAAAATAATTAGGGCCAAAAATATATTTCGTAATACAAAAATAAGAGTATACAAAACTATAAGTAGATCCACAATGCTATGCGCTGCCGAGGCATAGACTATGTACAAAATCAAACAGAACAGATTGAAAGCATATGAAAGAACGATAATTCGCAGAATATTTGGTGGAAAAGTAGTAGAGGGAGAATAAAGAAGACGAACTAACGCAGAGGTGTACCAAGTGTATGCTAACTCTACAATAACAAACGTGGTGAAAAAACGTAGACTAGAATGGCTCATACATCTAGAAAGAATGCAAAGTAATAGACTAATCAAGAAAATTGTTTGGAGAGTACCCGAGGACAAAAAAAAAGAGAGAAAGACCAGAAAGAAACGGAGAGATGTACTGATGGAAGATGTTAGAGAGATTTTAGAGGAGAGGTAAATAGAGATTTTTATCGGCCTAAAAGGCCTGTTAACGCTATACATACATACGTAATATCAGTAGCAAAAGAATCGATCCACAATAAAGCAGACAAAGTTTAAAACCTCAGCAATGAAAGATTTAAAGCAAAAGAGACAACTCGTGCAAGACCAAACACTAAATAAAATAGAAATAACAGAAATCAACAAAACACCTAGTCCAGTCTAGAAAAGACATAAGAAAATAAAAAATATGGCAGTAACATAAAATGCTACGAGAAAGAAAATAAAAGAAAGGTATATGAGACTGGAAGACGAAAACAAGAGAAGGTATAAATCTAATTACAATACTAGTTAATAAGAAAACGGGAAAAATACAGAAATTCGAAAAATAAACATATTGGTATAAAACTGCTACCAAACATTATACGAGTCAAAAGCAAAACCATTACCAGGAGAAGACGAAAAATAGAATTGATGACCGATATATAAAAATTTGATAAAAGATTAAGTAGATACTTTTTAATATGGAGGACAAACAGAACTTTAAAATAGCGCTGATTTTATTTAATGACATTATTAAGTTATATATTTTACTTTTGGTAGCTTTATTCAATAAAGTTGTTACAAAGTAGTAAATAATAAATTTGATTTAATATTACCAACGAGACACCAGGCGAACACTTTAAAGGTTAATTCAGAAGAGGTTTTTCAATGAGGGATATTTAATAAAGGTAAACTAACTGAATGGTAATTTCAAAAACGTTAACATAACGGGGTGTTGCCAAAATTAGTGTAGTATAAGTTGACACCGATGAAATAAGCAGGGTTTCATAATGCCTCTATCATTAATATGGATTTCAACTTTGCATTGAAATGTGAGAACATAATTAGTACTTTGATAGAGCACTAACGATTCAAAAGAATAAACGATAGTGGTAAATCAGTGGTTCACTACACCAATCAAATTAAGGACCATATAAGTAAATTCAATATTTATATATTTATTATTTAATATTTCAATATTTGTTTAAATATTTATTTTAAGAATAAATAAGGTATATAATTTTACAAAATTATTAATAGGCTAGTTGATCTAAGTTAGTCTAGCTAGTTGGACCAGATGATGTGCCCATCGAATTATTAAAACTCATCGATGAAGATGGTATTGTGGTTGAACTCTTTAGTCTAATATATCAGACTGCCACAATCCCCAAACAATGACTGCAATCGACCTTTTTAGCAATTCCCAAAAAGCCAAGCGCAACAACTTGTTCAGATCACAGAACAATAGATTTAATGAGTCACACACTTAAAACATTTTTCAAAATAATTCACAGCAGAATTGTTAAGATTCTTGAATATGAAATAAGTGACACACAATTTGGCTTTAGAAATAGTATGAGTACAAGAGATGCTTTGCTCGGCTTGAATGTGCTGACTCAGAGATGCATGGACATGAATCAGTACATGTACTTATGTTTTGTAGACTTTATTAACTCATTTGATAAGGTTCAACATAAAAAGCTTGTAGATATATTAAAAAGCAAAAATATTGACAGTCGTGATATAAAAATTATATCTAATTTATATTGAAATCAAACTGCCAATTTAAGAGTTGACAGCCAGTACACCCAAAATATCAAAATACAGAGAGGAGTCCGCCAGGGTTGCATTCTGTCCCCACTACTTTTCAATGTCTACAGTGAAGCGGTATTTCAAGAAACGCTCTCAAACTCAATACAAGGTATATCTATCAATGGAGAAGTTTTGAATAACTTCCGTGTTGCAGACGATACAGTAATAATGAAGGATAACAACAATGATTTACAGAACGTAATGTAACGCCTTAATGAACGCTGTCATGAGTACGGACTGAAGATAAATTTAAAGAAAACTAAATTCATGATCATGACTAAATCTGCACATGCAAATATCCAATTGACCATTGAAGATACTGCAATTGAGAGTGTTAATAACTATAAATACTTAAGAACATGGATAATATCACATGTAGACCAAACTAAAGATATTAAGGCACATATTGAAATAGCACGTGCATCATTCATTAAACTTAAAAAGTTTCTTTGTTGTCGGGATATAAGGTTAGAACTACGCCTGAGAATGCTTCGATATTACGTGTTCTCTACTCTTCTTTATGGCTTGGAAGCGTGGACACTCAAACAAGTTCATCTGAATAAGTTAGCCGCCTTTGAATTTTGGTTTTACAGAAGAATCCTATGAATATTATGGATTCAAACAATGTCAAACGTTCAAGTAGCTAGAAGGATAGGAAATGAGTCAGGAATAATATCAACTATCAAAAAACGAAAACTTAAGTACTTAGGACATGTGATGAGAGGGCAAAAATACGCATTATTACAACTTATAATGCAAGGCAAAATCTGAGGAAAGCGAAATGGTTTAAATGCAGTAGTGCAGAACTTTTTAGAGCGGCAGTCAACAGAGTCCGCATAGCCATGATGATTTCTAACCTTCGATATAAGATGAATTTAAAGAAGAAAAAGAATTTGATCTAATCTATAAAATTAATCAGAAATAAAATTTGATTCTGCAAAATTAGAATTGATAAATTTGACCCAATAATTTTTTTAATGCCAGTTCTCTTGTTAAGAGCATTAGGATGTTTAAGTTTGTAACACATTTCAAAAAACTGTCTTTTAGCGTAATTTCTTTCATTGTGAAGAATTTTAATCTCTTCATAATTGACCTTGTGTTAAAAAGTAATAGCATATGTGTTTAGATCAATTAATATCACGTCTACCTCTAAGTCAACGCCCAGTCTGCCCTATATAACAATAATTACAACCAGCACAGGGAATGTTAACAGTTAAAGTGTAACAACATTAAATTGTTCCAGAGGGGATAAAGGTGTCTTGATTTTGGAAAATAAGTTCCTGGCAGTTTTAGGGTAACTTGAGGGAAGTGTGGTAAGGAATATTAATGGAATATTGATGAAGACCACATTTTTTATTGCAGACTGGGATTATACGTGAAAAAGTGAACAAGTTTTATCTAATTTTTTTTTGATTAGCGATAGATGGTGCTGTAATCACAGAAAAACAACTGTACATCAGAAGTCTGCAAACTAATTTTTATGGCACTAAATACAATGTTTTACGATTTTTTTGTAGAATACGAACCTGCAATAAAAAATAATGGTTCCTATTTAAAATTTTAAAGTTACCTCCCTAGGCAAGGGTGTCATGTTTGGTGTCATTCAATAGATTTTTGAAAAATAATAAACATGTATTTTTAGTTTTTTTTATTTGGAAGTGTATTTCTCGAGATCTTAGACCGCTGCCATCATTTTCCTAGGGTATCAAGAGATTTTCCGATTATAGCGAAATCTATGAACAATTTGAAACATTTCCCAAATGAAAAATACTTAATTTTGCACAAATAATTCAAACCTTTAATAAAAAAATGGGGGTGGTTCCCATTTAAGATTTTAAAGCTGCTCTCCAGCGAACCGTTTGGCACACATTGTATATTTTTTCTGACAATTTTTCGAGTTCTTGTCTTAAGGTAAATATAATTTTTGTCTATGATATATCCTGGAAATAACTTTCTATTTGTCTGTAGAGAAGGAAGTCAAAGTAACACTCAAAATTTTATGTATTTTTTATTGTTGGCCTAAATTGTGAGTGTGTTATGTGCTCCTGACAATATTAATTGTTGATATTAATAATAAAATGTTGATATTAAACTTTAATAAAGTGCTTCAAATGTTTCTTTGTTACTGCAAAAACCCACCAAATAATTTCCATATTATGTATTTTGTAATAAAGCTATATACGAATACGTTACTTTTAACACCTAAAAATATAAATAATAATATATTAGGTTAACTAAAATTTGATAACTAATTACCCCTAGAAACATCGCTCTATCCATTACACCAAAGGAGGCAGCACGTAACTGTAAACTAGTCTGACACTTCTTTAAAACAAACATCACATCCATTTGTAAATCGACTTCGTAAGTGTACCAAGGAGCCTCGTACACAGCCACTGCTAATTCTAAGCTCTAAAAAATAATCGTAATCTCAAAATTAACTGATTAAAACATTGATTTAGTATACGAGTATAAAGTCAATTTGGTGAATTTACTCGGTTGCGAATTAAGTAAATAAGTAACGATTCAACTGACCATCTCTAAAAATGATTGTATCTTTTAGTGGGTAATAACTGTAGTCTAATGGAATTAGACCCTGAAAAACAGAAGGAAATATGGGAACAATATCTTTGTTTCGGTTTGATTTAATTGGTGATCGGAGAGCAGAAGGGCCCCCACAAATAGATACCGATGGAAAACTAAGTATTCTAACCGAAGAAGTTATGCGGACAATAAAAGACGCAAAGAACAACAAGGCACCCGGCGAAGATCTAACAACAGCCGAACATTTTAAACACCTGATTAATGATGCTGTCGGGAAATTAACCTACCGCTTTAACATTATATATAAACATGGCACTCTACCGCATGACTGGCTAACATCCACATATGTAGCTCTTCCTAAAAAACAAAAAGCAAGGAAATGTGAAGACCATCGAACTGTATCCCTAATGAGTCATGCTACTAAGATTTTGCGAGTAATTTATAACCGCATTCACAATAAGTGTGAAGAATACCTAAGTCGTTCTCAATATGGTTTTAGGAAAGGTACAGACACCAGAGAAGCAATAATGGGATTGGCACTAATGGCAGAAAGGTATCTCGAGGTTCAAAAACAGCTGTATGTGTGCTTTGTCGATTATAGAAAGGCCTTCGACCGCATTAGACACGAAAAATTGATTGAGGTGCTAAAAGAAGTAGGGCTGGACGGACACGACATAGCTATAATAAGCAATACATACTGACACCACACAGGATGTGTTCGAACAGACAACGGAAATACCAATTATGTAAACATAGAACGAGGAGTGCGTCAAGGGTGCATTCTGTCCCCTCTTCTATTTAATGTCTATGCCGAAAATATCATCAGAGCTTCTCTTGAAGATCGCCCTGAAGGTGCCAGAGTCAATGGAATCATCATTAACAATGTAAGATATGCCGATGACACCGTAGTATTAGCAGAAACAGAAGACCAACTAAAAATATTGATGAACATACTATCAGAAGAAAGTCACAGACTAGGTTTGGATATTAATCTTTCCAAAACCAAAATCATGGTATTCCACAAGAACCCCCATGAACAAATTATACCCAACATATAAATCAATGGTATCACCCTTCAGAGCTCCCAAAGCTTCATATACCTGGGCAGAGAGCTAAACAGTCAGCTAGACCACTCAAAAGAAATTAGAAGACGTATTGAAATAGCAAGATTTGGCTTCATGAACATGCGTAAAATGCTCTGTAACCCCAAGCTATCAATCACAATAAGGTTAAGAACACTAAAGTGTTATGTGTGGTCTCTACTACTATATGGCTGTGAGACCTGGACATTAAAACAGTATGACGTCAACAAACTGAATTCATTCGAAATGTGGATGTACCGCCGAATGCTAAGAATAAGCTGGACCAGCAAAACTACAAATGAAGAGGTACTGGAAATAATGAACAGACGACCTCATCTGGTTAATACAATCAAAACTAGAAAGACGTCATATCTAGGACACATAATGCGCCATAAGGAATTTGAGCAGCTCCAGGTAATATTAGAAGGCAAAATCGAGGGTAAAGGGGGTATAGCAAGAAAGAAGAAATCCTGGCTCCGAAACATCAGAGATTGGACTCACACAACAGGAAATGATTTAATCCATCAAGCGCAGAACAGAGAGAAATTTGCCATATTGATCGCCAACCTCAATAGAGAAGGCACTTAGGAGGAGGAACTGTAGAAGACTCATGCGATGCCCAGTTTAATACTCTCTTTGGTATTTTCTGTTCATTCATTCTTTGGACATGTCCATACCATCTTCATTGATTTATTTGTTATGAGTCGCTATTTGTACAGTGCTTTTGTGCTTTCATGGTTGAGGCTATCAAAGTTGTATTTGGTTTCTATTGTTTTTTGCTCTTGTTCCTAGTTGTGTTCTTTGTTCTTGGCTAGTCGTATGGCCATTATTTTAGCCTTGACTAGGTAGTGGTCGTTTCCACATGTGCTTCGTCTAAACGCTCTTACGTCTTGTATATTGGGTTGCGTATTTTGTCGGGCGTTCACATAGTCTGTAATGGATTTCAAATTTGTTGATCGTTGTATACAAGTGAATATATATGTACTTCTCGGTGCTGTAAAAAGCCTTTAAGTATTCTCAGGTTGTTTTGTTTACATGTTGATAAGCCTATCTTCATTGTCATTCTAGTATCTTCTCCGAATTGAACTATTTTATCTTTACATTTTTTGCCCGTTCTCGCATTTAGGTCTCCTAATAGGAGTATTTCTCTTGATGTTCATATTTTTGATATTTCGTAAGATAGTTGATCAAAGAACTCTTCTTTATCTTATATAGAACCGCAAAATACCCCAATGATTGAGGAGCAAAGTGTTCAAATAATGCATCCTTCCTATCATGACATATGGATGTCAAACCTGGACCCTAACCAAGGCAAACATGAATAAACTAGCCACAACCGAAAGAACAATGGAAAGAGCAATGTTAAGTATACGACTGTTAGATAAAAAGGGGAACGACTGGGTAAGATCGAACAAAAGTCGAGGACATAACAACAAAAATTGCCAAACTAAAATGGAACTTCGCGGACCACACCGCTGGATAAAAAGACCAACGTTGGAATACTACAATACAACATACGAAAAGTAAACGACCAAGAAAAAGACCACAGATGAGATGGGTTGATGACATTAAAAGAATAGCCGGAACAAATTGAAAATATGTTGCTTAAGATAGAGACCGATGGAAGGAGTTGGGAGAGGCCTATGTCCAAACAGGGACGATAGAAGGCTAAGAAGAAGAAGAAGAATATACAGTGAAAAAGCAAAAAGTTATAACCCTTGATGATGGTAGTCATAAAATGGTCTTTCCTCCATTGAAAAGTGGAGGGGACAACTTTTAACTGCAATATCTCAGCTTGTGTCTTATTATTGGTCATAGAAGGTACTGATTTTTTTTGTAAGTTTGCTTTTCCACCAGCTTTCCATTGCGTTTACTTACAACCGTGTCATATAAAAATCATCAAAGTTATTATAAATGTTTAGAAGCTATAAAGTCAGCCATTTTTTAAACTGTTTTTTGAACTGTTTTTTAATAACAAACTTAATATTTTTTAATAAATGTTATAAATGAAACCTTGTAGAATCGATTGCGATTTACAAAATTCCTCTAGAGTGACTGTTTGGACAAGTACAGTTGTTTCAATAATCGCTCTCCAGGATAAACAAATTGAATAACTTATAAACTTTTCGGTCTATCTGTTTGAAATTTAGCATACTTTGATAACTTATTAACCTGTATTACCTTATGAAACCTTATGAAACATGTTTCTCTATAATGTATAAGAAACTTTTTATAAAAAAAACTATTTTTTTACATTTTAACATTATTTAAAAACAAACTAAACAAAATCATCTGTACCTCTTCACGGATTTTTCATAAGCTACCCCTCATTTTTATTCTTCCTTGACTAGGGTATAAGGATAATATTACTGGAGTAATAAAAAAGTTAATACTCTGATGTATTTTATTTTTATTTAAGTTGTTTTAACTTAAACTGTAAGATTTGTGAGCAATGTACTTAGTTCTTACACGACTTATTAATAATAAACCAACGTGAGCTAACGCAATGACATTTTAAGATTTAACCAGATTAAAACATAAGCAGGTATTAATTTAACTATTTTATTGTTTTAACAGTAGTTTATTACCTCGTCTTGAAGACGCTGACCACTGAAACAATCCATGAATAAACCCCAAAACCAACCAGTACACACCATAAATGTTGATAAAGATTTTGCCTACGGTTAATAAAATAAAGTTAAAAATTAATTCTTTATTTATGTTAAGAAATATACTTTGATAAAATGTGAATCCAATGGTGAATCTTGTATTTATACAGAATACGATACTGGTACGTCTCGAGTAAGGAGAGTAAGCAGATTGAGACCCCGAACTCGAACGGAACCGTATCCATCTTGAAAATGGCTCCAAAATGGGTGCCAAAACGTCGAGCATTATATTCTCTACGCGATTCTTCCCAAGAAACTAGTGATTTATATATATATATATATAATATATATATATATATATATATATATATATATATATATATAAATCACTAGTTTTTAACAAATTTGTAGTTCAACAAATATATATATATATATATATATATATATATATATATATATATATATTTGTTGAACTACAAATTTGTTAAAAATGTCAATTAAGTAAATGTTTAAAGTTGGTTCCGTTGTTTTCTAAACAATAATACAGCCTATTTTTAAATTCTGCAAGAACTTTGGCAAATTTTGTTCTAGTAATAGACATGCTTTTCTTTCTCGTAATTCCCCAAATGACACAGGTTGAGTTTTCTAAGCAACTGACTTAAGGTAACTTCATAGAAAAAAGTCAGGTGGCGGTAAGTCTGGTGACCTCGGTGGTCACTCAATAGGACCTCTCCTTTCTATCCATTTGTTCGGATAATTAGTATCCAACCACTGCCTAACTGCATAGTAACTAGGTGCTCCATCTTGTTGGAAGTGCAGCAAATCTTCGTCTAGAGATAGGTTGTCTTGATCGTCCCTTTGGTTCTCTAATTCATGCACAATTAAAGGTTCGATGGTGTTTTCCAGCAAATCGAATAAATGTCACAACTTAAATTGCCTTGGTATGAACAAGGGGCCATGTATAGCATCGCCTAATATTTCTGCCCAAAAATTCAGTTTTTTAGGATATTGAGTGTGACCTTCTCTGAATCGATGCGTGTTCGCATCACTCCAGTACCGACAGATTTGTTTATTTACATTACCATTCAGCATAAAAGTACATTCATCAGTGAAACAAATATTTTTTAACATTCCCGGTTCAACGCGAATTCGTTCAGTCATGAGTTCACAAAACTCCATTCCTCGGTCAGGATCATCATCGCCTAGTTCTTGAAGAATTTGTGTTTTGTATAGGTGAAACTTATGTAATTTTAGCACCTTTCTAACCGACTCATGTGAAAGTCCTGTCATTGCAGATACTTGACGTGTTGATGTACAAGGCTCTATTGCAAAATTTTTAAAGTCCCCAATTTGGGATGCTTCATTCAGTAATCTTGGGACATCCCTTTTTTTGCACTGATCCCGTTTCTCTTAACTTTTTAACTAAGTCGCAGACGTACATGTGACTTACATTTTTGTCCGGATGCCTTTCATGAAATATTTGAGCTGTTCGTAAGTAACACTGGTCCTGGGAGGCAAATATGAAAATGATCTCCACGCATTCACGTATACTATAACCCATCGTGACAACTGCAGCTGAATGACAATACCGATCATACAAATGATGAAAACTAATGACATTTAAAATTCTCAAATAATACTTTTTATAGTATTATTCTATAATATGGTTTTGTTTTCTTTACTTATATTTTTATTCCCACACGATAAAAGTTCACAAAACATCATACCTTGGGCACATATTAAAGGCAAAATTTAAGGAAAACTCGGAGTTTGTAGGAAAAAACTCTTACATTCGAAATATACGATATTGGATGGGTTTAAATTATAAAGAACTAATAAATAATAGAGAAAAATTTGCCAAAGAAATCGTCAATATTCATTAGATGAATGGGCTACCATAAAAAGAAGATTATTATTCCCATTTTCAGACCTGGTAAAAATCCAAATCTACCACAATCATATTATAAACATATTATACTCCTTATGTTATGTGTACTTAAAACCTCGGAATATATAATAAAGTACAGATAACTCGACTAAAGTAAATGTTACTTTAACTAAGGGTGGAAATGAAAATATTTGGTAAGAGAGAGTGGAATAGTTAAAATAAAAAGACTTACATGTAATAAAGAGTATATTCCAGTTCCTAACACCGCAGCAGTTAATACCATATGAGTAAACATAAATATACTGAAAGCATCGTTTGCTTTGTATTCCAAACTACAACAAATAATATTGAATTAAACAATTTTATTTTCTCATTCCTAGAAAAAATAGGCATCTACTTTAGATTCGTAATTATTTTTTCCTGTAGCCGTCTCGAAAACTAAACCTTCGGTATGATTTATTACATCGAAAGTTTCACTTTACAAAATCGTACTAAGCGCAATTATTTTCGGGATGATTTTTTTGAGAGATTTTGAGTATCTACGTTGACGACTTTAGTGAAAGTGATGCCAAATTGATTCCAAATAAGATTAGTGAAGCTGCTAAAATGGCTACTTACGCATTACTGCCGCTACAGTAAAGAGGGAGAGAGGTGATTTATGGAGGGAGCTATGAATTGGTCTATAAAACAATCATACGACCCGTTGTGATGTATGGAAGCGAAACGTGGACAACAACAAAGGCAAACGAAGAGAGACTATGTGTTTGGGAAAGAAAAATCCTAAGGAAGATCTTTGGTCCTGTGCTGGATGAAGCATCAAGACAATATAGGATAAGAACCAACAAAGAGCTGGAAGAATTTTACCCAGGCGCCAACATCATAAAAGAAATAAAGTCCAGAAAACTCCAATGGGCAGGATACCTTAGAAGACATTCTGACGAACGAACAGTAAGACTGATGTGGGAGGAAGTCCCAACTGGAAGGATACCACGCGGACGCCCTCGTCTCCGGTGGCGAGATAATGTAGCAAGAGACCTACGCACTATGGGCGTGGAGAATTGGATGGAGGTTGCTCAGGACAGAAAACAGTGGAGGCATGTTGTCGAGTCGGCTAAAACCCACGAAGGGTTGTAACGCCACGGAGTAAGTAAGTAAGTACTATGAATTGGTAGTTCATAGTAGTACAAGATCCCACAGCAGGATCACTACGTTCATAACGTAGTTAATCAAACTCACATTTTTACACATATTTAAAATTAGGAGAATACCTTGATAATAGGTTGTCAGTCAAAAAGTGGCCGCATATGTTTTTAATTCAGTTAATTGTATTTAATTTAAAAAAAACTATTTTGTTTATATAGAAATAAGAGTATACATATTAAATGGTAGCAAACAAATCAATAAGAAAGGTGCAGGAGCTGCCTATAATTTTGAAAATTAGACCAAACTATTTATATTTCATACTTTAACTGAATTTTAAGTTTTTCAATAAAATCAATTCTTACCCAAAAAGAGAATTGTGATATTGTACAGCAACTCGAAATCGGTCTCTTCTAACCAGGGGATCTTTCTCAGCTAATGCCTCAATGATTACATGCTTTACATGTCTAATTCTTACAACAATGTGTTGGGTGGTTTCAAAAACTAGCCAAGCCATTAATCCGGCAACCATATATAAGTGATGAACCTATTAAAATAACTAAAGTTTAGTATTCAAAATCGATTAAAACGGTATTAACTTATTTTATGCACGGAAAGAGATTTTCAGAAAAGTAAGACAAGTTATTTATACCTCGCGTGGAATTGCTAGACCTCCATCGTGCGCCTCTCCAGGTGGCGAATAGAGGAACGTCTCCCATATATGGGTGTTACCGGGGAAATTGAGAATACAAATTCAGCTACAAATAATAGTGGGCAAGAATGGAAAATGGTTAGACACAAAAAAAGGAATGGACGTTTTGTTATAGGTAATAATGAGAACTCAGAAATCAGTGGTGTCCCAAAATTTAGCCATCTCCATGTTACTAGAGTAGACCAACATACAACGGCAGAAAATCTTAAGAAGATGTTAGAAAAACACTTTCCAGAAGTAATATGTACGTCGTTAACGGCTAAGCATCCCAACATATATTCATCTTTTAAAGTTTCAATTTTTGAACAAAATTTCGGTAAAGCGATGGACCCAAAACTATGGCCAGTAGGCTCTTATGTAAGTAGGTTTTTTATGAAGCGCTCAACACATACGCAAATAAAGTGAAGTATGAAGAATTGACTTTTAAACAGGAAAATGGAAGGGATGAGTACGATCTCCTATGTCAAATATTCAGGGACTAAATCAATTTAAAATTGATTGTTTATTTGCTGATTATAAGGAGTCTGATTTGAAATTTCTTTGTATGACTGAGACGTGGGCAGCAAATGACGAAGTGATTCATTATAATTTTCCAAATTTTAAAATTGTAAATTCTTTTAGTAGATCCCAATATAAATGTGGTGACGTTGCAGTTTGCGCAAGGGATGATATGAAGGTTAATTCCATTTTACTCGATCAGTATTGTGTTGAAAAAGACATTGAGGTATGTGGGCTGAAGTGGCATTATAATTCAAATCAACACACAATTTTAGTTTGCTACAGATCTCCTAAAGGTAAATTTGATGTATTTTATGAAAAACTTAACCTTATTTTAAATTCAAATTTTAAACCAAATCAATTCATATTTTTAACAGGCGATTTTAATGTAAATTCCATGACACTAAATAATTCACACAGATTTTCTGGTCTTCTAGCATCTTACGGTTTGTCACCCAGGAACTTTACACCTACAAGGTCGACTTCCACATGCGGAAATATTTTGGATCAGGTATATACAAATTGTGATGATTGTGTAGGTACTGTAAATGTAAATACTGAATCGGATCACGATATATTCCTTTTAAGATTGAATTTTGAATTGAATTAATCTAACTATGACAACAGTTCGAAATACTTTCAGAGTAACACATGAAGGCGCTATAGATGCATTCAACAATCTCTTGAGTAAAGAAACAAGGCAAGATGTTTATCATGCAACTGATGTTGAGAGTAAATATAATGCCTTTCATGATAAATTACAGTTCTATTTCAATATTAGTTGTCCTATTAGAGAAACCAAACATCACCAAAACAAAAAAAATACATGGGTCACCCAAGAAGTAAAATCTTCTTCAGATAGTCTGAAGGATTTGTATATATTGAGTAAGACTTACCCTGAGCTAAAAACTCTACATAGACAAAAAATATCAGCACAAAGTTCTTGTTGAGGCCACAAAGAGTCAATTTTATTTTAACAAAATCTCTAAATCCTCTAACAAAAACAAAACCACATTGGCTGTTATAAATGAACTTAATGGAAAACAAAAAAATCACAAAAATATCTGTCTAAAAATAGATGATACTAGGATTACAGATTCAGATATAATATCAAACAAATTTAATGATTACTTTATAGATGCACCAGTGGATATAATTAGTAAAATAATTAAACCAAATTTAAATTTTCAGCATTCCAATGATTTTATTCAAAGTAGTTTGTTCCTATCTTATGTAACAGAGGAAGATGTCGATATAATAAAATATAAAATTAAAAACAAAGCATCGTGTGGTTTTGATGAAATATCAGGTATAGTAATTAAGAAAATTGCGTCTCAAATTTTGACACCACTGACTCACATTATAAATGCTTCTTTCAATATTGGTGTTTTTCCCCAATATGCTGAAAACTTCTATCATTTCACCGGTATTAAAACAAGGTGATCCTGAATTAATGTCAAATTTTCGACCATTGTCTGTTCCCTCTGTGATATCTAAGATTATTGAATATGCAATGCTAAAACAAATTTTATTATTTTTAGATATCAACCAAATTATCACAAAGCATCAACATGGATTTCGAAATGAATTTTCTACTTCCACAGCCATTAACAGTTTTTATGAGGAAGTCTTACTCTCAATTGAGAACAGTGAAAATCCAACTGCCATTTTTTGTGATCTCAGTCGTGCATTTGATTGTGTGCAACACGATGTGCTCCTCGATAGATTGTACAGATATGGTGTTATAGGAGTTGCCCATAGCTGGTTTGTTTCCTATCTGAAAGACCGGCACCAAATAGTTAAAGTGAAAAATAACTTCAAGATTTCAATGTCTGATCCGATTATTAATAAGAATGGAGTACCACAGGGCTCAATATTGGGCCCTATATTATTTATTTTGTATATTAATGAACTACCACATGTAATGCCTGATACATTTGTATCAGTTTATGCGGATGACTCAACAATACTATTGGGACCGTGCAAGTTCGGAACAGCGACACCTGGTGTCGTAAATTAACAAAATTTACTGCGCTTTCATGTTAGATCGAGGTTACCGGATAACTATCAAGGACGTAGCCCCAAAAAATAATAAGAAGAAAAAGTAAGATTGAGGTTATGTCGGTATGTTATTAAAAGGTAAAAGAGACAGTTTGTAGTACCCTATCGACATTTAGAAATAAGCAGGAAGTCATCTACTATCTGTGGTTTACTACTGTATAATCAACTTCCTCAAAATTTTAAAAACATTAATTCAACTACAGCTTTTAAAAAACCAAGTCAAAGAGTACCTAGTGACCATGTGTCCTTATACATTAGGTGAATATTACTAGGGTGTATCTGTGAATGCCTAAGCTGCAACATAACCAAAATTAATATTTTAATTATATGTCTATATTGTACGTTTTTTAAGTATTTTAATGTTTTAAATATTTTTAATGTATTGTTTCCATTTTTTGTAATATTTAATATTTATAATTTTAGTTTTGACTTGTTGTAAACCTAGTTGTAACTTACAGTCAAATAAACTATCTATCTACCTATCTATCAAATTCCCGGGATGAACCAAAACTAGCACACAGTGTCTGACCCAGAATGGGCGACTGCAAATGGCGTTTGTGTCGAGAGAATCGGTTAAAATACAAACCAGAGAAGGCAATGGGAAACCTGCCTTCTTAGATAATCGAGGGGTACGAAGAATCCCTGGAAGGAATAGTTTAAATATTTTAAATAAGAACTTTAATGGAACGTTAGAAGTCTATTCTTAAAGGGAAAATCTGCAAATGCATACCACGAGATAAAACGTTTAGGAATACAGATATTGGGTTTGAGTGAAGTCAGATGGCCAGATTCAGGTTAAAACTATAAGCAAAACTTTTTATTGCTCTGGTAATAATTCCGGTTCATCGTAACAGAGTTAGAGTAATTTTATACAACAAATATAATAATGTTATCACAATCTTTATAAACCTGAAAAAGAACCTAAAGTCTTGAAATCCATTAAAGAGCGAAAGTAAGCATACTTCGGACATATAGGGAGAAATGAAAATAAATACAGAATCCTACTATTGATATTAGAAGGGAAAATAGAAGGAAATAGAGGACCAGGACGCCGCCGAATATCCTGGCTTAAGAATTTGAGACAGTGGACAGGTATTACCACCACAGACATATTTCGAACAGCTACTAATAAAATACGATAGGCCATAGTGGTAGCCAACATCCATAGAGGATAGGCACTATAAGAAGAAGAATCTTTGTGCCATTCTCTCAACGACGCCTATGGGCAGATTCGAACCTAATTATAAGGATAGAATCGTTTTATAATGCCCCTTTGTCCGCATCTTCTCGATCGACAATGATCAATACAATAAAACGTTGAAGTTGTGGAGTAAAAATGTTGGTTTTATTAACAGATACTACTAATTATACTATATGGTGTTGGTTAGGTAACTACCTATAATAGACTGTAACACAAATGAGCTCAAATCCTCAATTTATAATCTCACAAATAATGTATACATCAGCACAGAGAATTTAATCTAGGCCGTAATTGTAATGCTTCGGAAGTTTAATTAGAAGTTGTAGGTAAATGAACCAATTATTAAAATATTACACAATATGTTTTCACAGTGTTTCAATTATACACGGTGAAACTATAAAGGTTAATAGGTTAAGAATAATGTGAGATTACAAAATAAGGGATTAATTTGTGATTGAACATATTGGACACTATATAAAATAAACAGACGACTAATATAAAATATTTAAACATATATAAAATATAAAATAATAATATAACAATAATAATCATAACACTAATTCACTAGGTTTTTGAATTATTATCTCACCCGAGCAGTGCTACCTATAACTTGAATATTTAAAATTTATGTTTCAGCTAAACTATCTAATTCAAATCTAAGCTTGTCAAGTGAAACTGATCTAGGAAGGGCTTTATCTAAAGTTTTATCTAAATTTGGTTATGATACCGTATGTATTCGAGGCGCTGCTGGATGAGGTTGAATGCAAGAACCTTGATGCCTTTGTTCAATTCTATACCCCTTCCTTTATCTTCATATGCCACTTAAAAATAGTGTAAGTTATTGTAATGTACTGCGAGTAGAGTCCTTGGGACCAACAACGAGCGCACAACACAGCCTCTTCTTTTTCTAGGTTTGTGTCTCATTGAAATTTCTTCTCTAATTGCAGCAGTCTCACATATGCTTAATGTTCTGAGTCCCCCTAATAGGCTTGTATTAGAATTAAAGGGTATTTTACCTTTAAATCTTTCTTCGTTATCCCTTTTTACTGTTCTTTTATAATATTTTTTACACTAT